GATACAAATACAATAAAGTTCAAAATACATTTTTGTTTTTACATCTTGATCAAAAAGCTTCTCCAGCCGACGTGTGTAAATTACAAGCATTATAAGCCGAGAAGCATAGTTTTCAAGACTGCCGACATGAAGACAAGTTAAGCCGACATAAACAAAACCCAAAACAAGCTCGCGAGTCACACCTAGGCGTCACCGCCTTCTTGCTCATCACCTACATATATATAGAGAGGGTGAGCTTGGATACTCAGTGAATGGTATAAGAAATAAAGGGGTTTGCATGACTGGTATTCAAGGTCTTTATCAAACAATACATAACATAATAATGCAAGTCAAAGGATGAACCAAGTCCATCTAGCAAATCTGTCAGGTTTCAAGGATGCTTACTAACATCATTATAATACAAGTGATGACATCTCGGCAAACAAAACCCGCTCGGTAAACTGTCAGTGGCAAACAAGGCAAGACAAGGCAAGACAAGGGAGATATCTCAATTCAATGGTGTCGTTGCATTGTAGTCCCCGGACACTAAGGACTTGTGCTACTAATGCTTAGAGTCCCCTAGCACGTACGGACTTCCAAACTTTGTGCTACAAGTGCTTATAGTCCCTTAGCACGTACGGACTTCCAAGAATGTCATCAAAACAAGATATATATTTTCCAATTAGAAATAACCATTCATGCTTACAAATACTTTCCAAAACGAAGCAAAACAAGACTTTATCAAAGCGTTAGAACATAGCTTTATTAAAAATACCACTCACTTAGTTCTTCACACGCCGGGGTCAAGGCAAGTCCAAACCCTACAAACACATGGTAAAATCTGTTGAATGCACTTTCAAGCAAGTTTCACATGCATGCAGATGATCTCGGTATTCCCCAAGACTAAGTCAAATCAAGACAAACACAATTCTTTATTTCGAAAAAACAGGCTAGGCGACTACCAGGTCTAGGCCGAGGTTCCACATCCCCTGGCCGAGGTGTGGCCTCGATGGCCACATTCAAAGGAGTGAAGTCAGAAAAGTCTGGGTTTCCCTTTTTCTTGAAGAACATGAAGATCATGCACATGAGGAAGATGAATGCAAAGATCGTGATTTGCTATTACAAAATCTGAGATTTCATGCTATGAGTTCAGAAACATGGACCTGGGCACCCATATTTCAGGATCTAGTGAGAACAAACACAAAAACATGAAACTTAATGCAAACTTTTAGATTATTCAAGACCTTTCTTTCAAGAACACATGAACACCACTTTCTCTTTCTAAAACCAACTTTAAATCAATGCATGTCATGCAAAACGGGTTCGATCATGCAATGCAGCTAGATGATCAATAAGAATGACAAGAGTAGATCAAGAATCTAACCTCAATACGCGAATCTAATGGTTTGACCTCTAAGAATCAAGCTTGAAACTCACTCTCTCACTCTAAACTTCTTCTTCTAGAGCTTCTCTCTCCTCACAAACAAAGACATATATCAAATGATACACTTCTAAGTCTGCTGGCTAAATTAACCCTCTATAGAGGCACGTGGCGGCGGCTAGTTGGTGCTACACAGAAAAGCGGCTGAGTGACAAGACAAAACTATGACAAAGTGTGTTCAACAAGCAAGACGACATGGGCACTCTGGCGAGTAATGATCTCGGCTAAGAGTAAGACATCGGCAAGTAAGGAACAATGACCTCGGCTAGGAAGGACAACACTTGACTAAGCTGTGCCACACCTTGGCCTAGATGTGCCACACCTCGGTCTAGGTCATACCTCTCCGGGGCAAGATCACTTTGGTGCAAAGGTAACATCTCGGCCCAGATAATTCACATCTCGGCCTTGGTGATGAACACCTCGGCCTAGATAATGATATCTTGGCCAGTATGTCAAGGCGAGGTTAGAGATCAAACAAAGTGGTTCCAAGGAAGTTCTAGACTACAGACGACCTTGGCTAAACTCACACCAAGCAAGGTTCAAAACGTGTTGTAACACTTAAACGAACAAGGACAAGACTCGAAATGCAAGTTTACAAGGCAGAATCTCATGAATGCATATAAGTATGGTGAGGATAGCGTGAGGGTTATTACACAATCTGAGAAACATGACTCAAACCCGGAACAACTAACTTGAGCTTGGCCAAGGAGGGATGACCCAAGTGAAAATGCCACTGAAGAGGAGATACCCTAGCACTCAACACAGCAGATGAAGGAGGAGACGTCTCAGCGTCCAAAAAGTATAAGCCATCCTTCTCATGCCCCGAACCAATCATCCTCTTGGTCTGGAGGTCCTGCAAAACACATGAAGTAGGAGAAAAGGTTATCAAACAATGGAGAGCTTGAGTCAATTGGCTAACAGAAAGCAAATTAAATGGAAATTTAGGAACATAAAGACCAGAAGGTAAGGACATGGATGGAGTGGGATGAAGAGGACCTTGACCACAGACAGGCCGAGAAGATCCATCAGCAAGTATAATGGTATGATCAACAGGTCTAAGAGTATCAAAAAGAGAGGAATTACCAGAGACATGAGAACTAGCACCAGAGTGAACAATACTCCTAGTAGACGAGTGGCGAACAAAAATAGAGTGATCAAAGGTGGAACGGCTAAAACCATAGGTGATCACAATAGCTTTGAAATGATCAAACCAAGCACGAGGGGACTGCTTGAAACCATACAAAGCTTCCCGCAATCGACAAACAAGATACTCATGACCAGAAACAACATAGACAGGGGGCTGATCCATATAGACCTCCTCTTGAAGATCGCCATGAAGAAAGACATTCTTGATATCAAGTTGATATAAAGGCCAAGACTTACTAACTTCAACAGAGAGAAGAATCCGAATAGAATTAAGACAAGCCACAGGAGAGAAGGTCTCCAAGTAATCAACACTATAAGTCTGGGTGTAGCCTTTAGCTACCAGGCGAGCCTTAAGCCGCTCAACAGTGCCATCAGGAAGGTGCTTAACAGTATAAATCCAACGACAACCCACAATAGATTTGCCAGACGGCAGAGAGGTAAGTTCCCACGTGTGATTCTAATGAAGAGCATGTATTTCCTCATCCATGGCATGCTTCTAACCAGAGATGGACATAGCCTGCTGATAGGTGCGGGGAATGGAAATACTAGACAAGCTATAAGCAAAAGAGTGAAGACTAGGAAAGAGGCGATCATAAGAAACGAAATGAGTAATAGGATGTTGAGTGCAAGTTTGTGTACCTTTGCGGAGTGCAATAGGAAGGTCATCAGATGGTAGATCAACAGGTGGAATAGGGGCCTCAGACGAAGGAGATGAACTGGTCGAGCCATAAGACACAATGTGACGAGCTTGAGACCGTTGATAAACCTGCAAAGGAGGGGATGTGGAAGGAGCATAAGAGGGAATAGTAGGAGTGAGTGAGGCTGGCTCCCCCTCACGAGAAGAGAGAAGATCAAGAGATAACTGTTGCCCAGAGGAAGAAAAGAAAATAGACTCAAAAAAGGTAACATCTGCACTGACAAAGTATCGACGGGACTCAAGATGATAACACCGATACCCTTTCTGAGTGTGAGAATAACCTAAGAACATACACTTGCGTGCTCGAGGAGATAACTTATCCAAACTAGGGTCAAGAACATGGACAAAGGCCACACAACCAAAAATATGAGGCTGCAGGGGAAAAGATGTGGGATATAACAGAGAATAGGGAGATATGTGTACAACACTAGAGGGCATGCGATTGAGAAGCAAACAAGCAATGAGAACTGCGTCGCCCCAAAACTGTTTGGGGACATGCATATTAAACATCAGGGTGCGAGCAACATCTAACAAATGGCGGTGTTTCCGCTCTGCAACACTATTTTGAGGGGATGTATGAGAACAAGAAGCTTGGTGGATAATACCATGAGTATCACAAAAGGTAATTACAATAGATTGCACATATTCTAAGGCATTATCAGACCGAAATATCTTAATACGTTTGCCAAATTGAGTAAAGATTTCATTGTAAAACTTAGAGATGATGGAAGGCAAATCAGATCTTTGTTTCATTAAAAACAACCAAGTCATCCGAGAGTAATCATCCACAAAAATAACAAAATAAAAGAACCCATTAACAGTGGGAGTTCGTGAAGGATCCCAAATATCTGTATGGACAAGAGCAAAAGACTCAAACACATGACTAACACTACGACTAGGAAAAGAACTACGGTGATACTTCCCAAATTGATAGGCTTCACACTCAATTTGAGAAATATAACTCAAGCCCGGAACAGCTTACTTGAGCTTGGCCAAGGAGGGATGACCCAAGCGATAATGCCACTGAAGAGGAGATACACTAGCACTCAACACAGCAGATGGAGGATGAGTAGAGGTCTCAGTGTCCAAAAAGTATAAGCCATCCTTCTCATGTCCTGAACTAATCATCCTTTTGGTCTGGAGGTTCTACAAAACATATGAAGTAGGAGAAAAGGTTATCGAACAATGGAGAACTTGAGTCAATTGGCTAACAGAAAGCAAATTAAATGGAAATTTAGGAATATAAAGACTAGAAGGTAAGGAAAGGGATGTAGTGAGATGGGGTAGATCTTGACCACAGATAGGCTGAGAAGATCCATTAGCAAGTATGATCAACAGGTCTAAGAGTATCAAAAAGAGAGGAATTACGAGAGATATGGGAACTAGCACCAGAGTCTAGGAGCCAAGGCTGAGGGGACTTAGCCATACATGCAATATTGCCTGAACTAGCCATGGTAGCAGTAGAGGATGAAGGTAGATTAGGCCGGAGAGACTGGACAAGAGCAGGAAGCTCACTAATCTGAGAGTGTCTCATGAGAATTAACTAGAGAAGCATCAGAGCCAGTGGACAAGAAGGAAGACTGTGAGGATGGAACGTCCATAACCTGATGAACATGATCGGGTTTGCCATACTTTTGCCAACACCAAGGTTCAGTATGACCTTGGGAATCACAATGAGTACACTTGCGATCGCCACGTGTACGAGAACTGGGTCCACTATTACCCCTGAAAGGTTCAAGTGTTAAAAATTGGTAAGGTTTACTACTCTTTTTCAAAATTCAAAGTTCCCAAAAAACTCCAATTTAAAATAATAATAATAATAATAATTAATAAATACATAAACCTGAGATTTTTGGCTCATATTCTCACCTGCAAATTGCAACTTATACCATGCTGTACCACCTGATTACCACATTGCTTACTGCAGCCACATTTCCACCAACACTCTTTTATGAACCTCCTCACTAAGTGACCTTTGCATGGTTCTATAATATCATCATTTTTTGATCTTTCCAATGGGCACTCCTTACAATAAAAGTGGCAGTGCTTTTGAGGATCGCGATTCATCGAAATACACTCTTCTAAAAATTCATCTTTAACCAGGCCTTCTAAGGTGTATGCAAAATCACCACCAGTTTCATTTGCACAAGCACAAGGTGTTGACGATGATAAACAATCGCCAAGACAAATCGAACAACAATTCTCCCCAATCCGAGCCAAAGAGAAATTGACATAAGCATTCTGAAAAACTGCATTTTTGGGTATATGGTGAAAGGATGGTGGACACTCATTGTTGACTTCATTTACCAATGAAATCACAACTCTTTCTTGTCCTTTGGCTATGTCATTAGCATCATGAAGAGACTTTATATCATCAGGCTGCTGAGCCAACAGACTATGAGGATTTGCATGCCCAAGACTATTCTGTTCCTTTTCCTCATCAATTTCACCAATGTTCTCAATAGTATTCTTATCAGTTTGTGTGCAGTCATCTATCCCATTGGAAGATGATGGAAGTCTTGGAATTTGAGACTCTGCTACTTCAACAGCACATGGGGTAATGACTGATCCATTAGAAGCACCAAATGGCTTTACTCTAGCACCCAAAGCATCCAGTGCATTAGATTGTTTCAATAAATCAATAGCTGGCATAATTGTTTCCTGTGATTTATTGGCAGAGTCAGTTCCCAGTTCCTGAAAATACTCAAGCATATCTTTCATTAGTTTAATCACATAAAAACTTGGGTCTAGGACTTCATATGATCTAAGACTAAGACATTTATCGTCCACCATTTTGAAATCAGATTTTTCCAAGAGTAAAATTACAGGTCAAAGAAATTTTTACCTCTCCATAGTGTGAGGAAGCAATATCTAAGTTAGAAGAAGACCCATCCACATTGTTTGCAAGCTTGCAATCAGTTCTCCTTTCATTTGATGAAGCTAGAACACTATCATTTCTAGCTTCCCCATCTACAGATTGGGATACAACATGTTCAGGACCATCAGATGCTCCAATTGAGCCATTTGCACTTGAAGAATTTTCTATGCTTAATGGCTCTGTAAAATTTGAAGAAACAAAGCTGACCATCATTTGTTGAAAGATACTAGTCGTCTATGTGTTTGTTAATCACCAAGAGAGAGAGAGAGAGAGACGGAAAATTTACTAATCTTATAAATTGTTATATCCAATAACTGAACAATATTGATATAACTGACCTTCATTGATATGAACACACTAACGACATTATCAATAAATTCATCAACATATCACCATCAAACAATATAAATTTTAATAAATTATCTATGTTAGCAACGTATCAAAATATGTTGGGACAAGGTTCTGTTGGGATAGATATGTCTTCAAAAATGAAAGATTTCACACAAATATTTGATAACTTCAAGTAAGACTCATTCCTACTATTTTAAAATAATCAACCATAGAAGTCACTAAATAGAAAGCTTTTATAGATCACATAAACCAACAAAGGCCATCAACTTTTAAGTGACAAAGCCCAGAGACAAGTCCACTGAATAAGCTTGAAAGGGTACAGACCAGCTATAAGATCCATGGTATAACTTTATGCATTATTCAAATAACACAATTTTTAACTAGTCCTCCAGCAGAGATACTGTGAAAGTTATCATTTTGCTATAAGATGCCAGTCATCAATAAGCACTTAAAATTATCACAGGTCAACCACAGGAAATAAGATGTACCTCCATGAATCACTGCACTAGGAACCTCTGACTGCAGTATGTCATCAGTGAATGGCTCATCTTTAGGCTTGATCAAAGCACGAGAATCATGTAAGTGCAGCTTGGGTGAAAGGACAATGCCAGTGTCAACCATTGGTTCTTTCAAGCGCACTGCATGAGGCGACCTCACAGAAATTCTTGGAGCAATTTGAGGTAAGAGAGGTTCCTTTCCTTTTCCTGTGTGACGTACTAGAGGAGAAACGAAATCAGATTCAGTTCTCCTTGTAGCAAATGGCTCAGTTCTGTCAGCAGCACCTGGCTGAGATGGCTCAAAACTATTTTGTGTTGACACGGGCTTTGGCAAGACAGGTTGCTTTCCTTTGTTTCTAACAAGTGGCTGTGGTGACTGTCATATCCTGTGACTGTTGTTCGGGACAAGTCTCAGGCAGATTAGCCTCCTCCACTTTGGGTGGCCCTCTTGATGAAGTTTCACCCAATCCAAAATAAGGTGAAACATGATCGTTCTGGTTCCTTAAGCGCAACCTTTTTAGGGGACGTTCGGGCTCCTCATGCATCTTAGCTTCTTAATCCATTTCCTCTTGCTATTCTCAAACAAAAAAAGAAAAAAAGGAGAGGGAAAAAAAGAGAAAAAAAATAGTCAATAATTAAAACCAGTAAGTGAATATATCATATGAGGAAGTGAGATAACAACATCTTGAATCAGTACAAATATGATGATAGGCCACATACATCAGTGTTTTCATGTTTCTTCTTTTGCTCTGACGTCTGAAAGATGAATTAAATGAACTTTGTTCAAAAATTTTAAAATAAACCGATGGAATAAACTAATAAAAATAAAGGAGCCAAACAGTCTGACAAACAAAAAAAGAAGGCTGTCAGGTAAGATAAAGCACGCACATGAGAGAGAGAGAGAAAGAGAGAGAGAGAGAGAGAGAGAGAGAGAGAGAGAGAGAGAGACGCACCTGTGTCTCCTCTTGGTCAAATATAGCATCTGCGAGGGCTCTGTAATTTTCTTCTTCAATAAGTTCCCAGTTTTTGTCATACAATTTTAAAAGATTTTTCAAGACGGGTTTCACTTTTTCTTCAATGATGCCAATACTCCTCATAGCACGAAATGCTCTCGCAACTCTTGGATTTGGTGCCATTGCTTATCTCCAAGTCAATATTTTATAAAACAGAATTCCAAATATTCTAATGCATCTACATTTCCCTAGATTTTGTGAGAAAGGTTACAGTGGGAGAAAACTACATAAGATGCATTGAGACAAAAAAAACAAAAAACAAAACGAAAACAGATTTCCTATGATAGAAACATCAAAAAAAAAAAAATGCATCACATAATTCCATCAAAATTAAAATGCATTACGAACCATGCAAAAAATATCATACTTAATCCAAATATGAAAGATAGATGAGCAAATTTTAATTGCAATAATGACTTTGTCAAGGTACTACACATCTTGAAGGAAGGAGAAAGAAAATAATGTAAATATTTCTATCAATTGCCATTAGAAGTTGAAGATAAATTACATTGACCTCTCTTGACGTTCATGGTAATTCTAGAAACCACAATTACCATTTTTTAAATGACACTGACCTCCCATCTAGTTCAATTTTCTATTCATGATTCTCCCTTTCGCAAGTTGATTGTAAATGAATTGCTTAGGTGGCCTTTATTTTATATATACAGACATGAACACGATTGAAATCCATGCATAATAGGCAAAAATACCCTCATTTTTGTGTTAAAAACAAAAATGCCCTCATTTTTCTGTATTGAAGAAAAAATACCCATCGCCATCTTCACCAAGTCCACTCCCTGGCAGCCCTCTATTTGAACTACCCATTTTTAGCACTTCCACTTTGGCATGTATAGACCTTTACAAATCATCTAAACTACCACAATGCAAGTTACAACATTTGTGTTAACCAAACAAAATTTAGTCCCCTTTTCTTTAATAAAAACATGGATGAACAATATAATTACCAATTATTAATTACAAAAAAGGGAAATGCTATAAAATATTGTGAATAGAACCCCACCCAACATTCCCCATGCATGAAATTTACTCCAAACCTCAAGCTCCAATAAATAAGCTATAAAACTTTAAATATATATATATATATGTACCTGAGTTGCCAATGAACCACCAAGAGAAGCACTCAGAGAATAATTCAAGCTATCAAAACCTGACAAAACAAGAAAACCATGATGCGGAAAGGCTTCAAATATCCAGATAAAATGATTATTGCTAGCTACAGATTTTCCAATTACTACAAAACTTAAAAACCAATCTCTCAGTAGCGAGACTAACAATAAACTGGGATTATTAAAGTTACCAACTAAATTTTTCTCAGAGTGATAACATAATTGACTGTTTTGACTATTTCTTTCTTTTCTTCCTTTTTTAAAAAAAATAAAAATAAAAAATTATTGTTTGGTTATTTTTTTCCCTAATGTACAAACCAATAAGTTTCAATTACGGAGCAGAAATCATGATCGCTATATGATGGCCGCAAGACTGGCTCAATAATTTATTAGTAACCCAAAATAAAGAAATCTTTAGGTTCCATGATAAATAGAGCTTAAATAAACACAATGCAGCACTAAAATTTATAAATTAAAAAAAAATAATCTTATTTTTCTTAAGGCTAATCTTATTTACCATGCAAAGAGAAAACAAAACTGTAAATGTGAGGAACATTTAAGTTTCCCCCAAATATAGCTAAACAAGAGCAATGTATTTGGCGATTCAAAGCTCAAACAAACCCTAGAAGAAAGAAAGAACCAACTGGTAGTGATTGAAACACATTTCACAGTTTAAAACCCATAAATTATTATAAAATAACACAAACTGATTTCTTTTTTCATTCAAACTAATAATCGGGATATCAAAAAGGAAGAAGAAACTCTGAAAATTGAAGAAATGTAGAGACTGAGACGCAATCGAAGACGAAACTAACCAGTTTTTTTCAGAGCGATTTGAAACGGAGTGAAGTGAGAGTGTGCGATAGTGAGGGCGATATCACAGACTAGAATTTTACCAGCTTTATCAATGTCACAGACTAAAATTTTATCAATGTCACCACAATATCGCCGCCGCCACTATCACCTCCACCACCATCACCACCGCCACCGCCACTATATCTCCGTTACCATAACAACCGCCGCCGCCACTATCACTTCTACCTCTGTCCCACCACCACAAAACATAAATAAAAGTTTTTTGAAAATATATTTTCCATGAAAAATCAAAAAAATATTTTTCACTAAAAAATTGAAATTCACAATGAACAAACAAATTAGACAAAATAAATAAAATAATGTTCCTGTCAATTAGTTATTCTAGTAAAAATCAAGAGGAAATCAACATCATTAGATTGGCCAAAAAGACAGTTCTAATTACATTTGTTTAGAGCCAAGGGATTTTTAAGCACTGAGGGGGGGTCATCAATGGCAGCATAACTAGTCTCTTGATAACAAGATTCTTTATTATTCATCAATATATTTCATATGAATCTATTGCCAATCATAATAATACAACCTCATCAATTATCATCCTAATTCAACAAATAATGAAAGAACAATAAAAATACTGATTACCAATGCCTTTTGTCATTGGAAACACTGACCCAAAGGGTTGGTTACAATGCTCGCTTGCAGAATTGTGATTGTAGATGAGGATCATCATTGCCTCGCCTCTCTGCTGCAAAAGATCTTGGTGCGTATCGAGTCATTAACAGTTTCAGCAAATATGCGGGCTTTGCACAATTACATTTTATTTAACATATGAAAAACTAAAGGAATAAAAACTAACCCATTTGGTGCTTACATTCCAGGAAAAAGTTAGACGACTGGTGTGCATTGTACAAAAACAGTGACGGATCCATTTCAAGCACGGAGTATCATCAAATTTAAGACAATCCAGCAAGACAATCAAAATGGGAACAAAAAGATGAAACCCAAAACAAACTCTACCTTCTTTTCTTGAGTGGTCCAGTCTTGCACCCACTCTTACAAGGCTTACCACACGGTGTTTGCGAAGACCTCCCGTGACTCCCACTACTCTTACTCATTCCTTCACCACCTCCATGAGGATGATCAACTAGGTTCATGGCCCCACCACGAACCACCAGCCTTCACCCCAACCACCTGCTATGCCTGGCCTTCCTAAGCTTCTTCGCTCCGTGTTCGGGGTTCGACACGGTCCCTATCGTGGCCCTGCACCGCGAATCGATCAGTTTCTCTTCCGAGGATTTACTCAATAGCTAAGGCTCTGACGCCTTTGGCTCCTTATGAATCTTTGCTGAAGTCCCAGTAGCCCTGACTAGCTTGCCGCCCTGACCGAGGTTCATCTCAATGTGGATCAGTGTCCCAATTCGCATCATTGAGATTGGCATGCTGCTCCCGATTTGGGAACTCAGATCAGCTGTGAACGTTGGTTCATCATCATGGCGGTCTTGCGAGATGGTGTAGTGTGAGTGAGCGAGTCGTATGCATTGGCGGATGTGCTGAAGGAACCGGTAGTTGGGTGGAGGACCTTGGCAAGGAGAGTAGATTGTAAATCAAAGTATTGAGAAATATTTAGGTCATTCCAGAATCTGAATAACGAATCTAGTAATGAGGGATACTACAAAATACAAAATGAGTATCACCCGTATAAGTCATAGTATAAAATGACTTATCGTTATTCAATGGAAGAGAGTTACAGAGAGTCTAGGAAAAAAGTTATGGGTAAAAAAAAGTACATAATGTATCTATGATATATTAATATATTATTTAAAATATATAATCTGATATATAATAACAAATATCTATTTATCTATTCATCTATTTATATTTATTGATATGATAGATATAGATATTTTGAATGGTTATCCAAATAAATTTTGAATTCAAATTCAAACTTACATGGATAAGGTTCAAAAGGTTCAGGTTCAAAAAGTTCTAAGAGTCATGCCACATGGGCGTCCAATTTCTAACATCTCCCATTCGCACATGAGTTGGCATGACACTGCCACATCTCTATCTCAATCTCCCAAAAAATGAACAATCTCATACTAGCCAATGCACCGTGCGACTGCTGAGAACACCTGCATGTGGGAGTTCTATACTAGAAACTCAAAATGAGCCAGCACAAAGATATCAACCCAAAAAGAATAAAAATAGTGTCTCATATATCCCAAACCCATCTAATTACACCGGCCCAATAAAACATCTCTAATTCCTAAAAAAAAAAAACATGTTTGACCCTTTCAATTCTTGCAATATATTCACACTCAATCCGCCTCTAATACAAAGCGATGTGAGTTGTCGGCAATGAATATACAACAGTGGTGTAATACTAGATGATCTTCCTTTTGCCCTCATGCCATTTAGTTTAGGATTGACCGCTTTCCCAGTGATGTCCCTTAAGGCCGAATCATACATGACCGCAGGCAACATACAAAAGTAGCAGAACATCAACCCTTTACCTTATGACATAGTCAAAAGTCACAAAAAGGTACATAAATGAAAGTCATATCAATAATGACACGCAAGACTCACACGGTGAGGAAACATGGATCCATTCTCTCATCTCATTACTCAGTCGCCAAGCACATATAGTATGAATACATGTTACGGTGGAGTAACTCTTCTAAAAGAGTGACATCATCCTCGATACACCGTACAGATATTAGTCTAGTCGCTTTTTTAGCGCCTAACCCGAATTCTCTATTTGCTCGCCTTCCAGGCGCCAAATGAGATCTCGTATCTGGCTAATCATAACAGGCATAACATGGAAAGTAGGTACTAACATCCATGTTTGGTCCTTAACACGACCTCATCTTGGTTGTAACCAATGCGACATACATAGTGGATAATTTAGCCCCTCTTGGCTCCAAACAAAAATAAACCACTAGTCTCATCCTTACTCGCTCCCAAGCGCCAAGGCCGATTACTCGTGTGAGTGAGCCAATCTTGCCTGCTGACATCATCATTTGCTAATCATTATGACATAAACCATAATAGTGTCAACATCCCATCCTCTCATAACAAATAAGTGATTGATTTTACGACCACAGTCTGCGCAATTCTAGATTCCAAACATAAGCCTTACCAGCATCTCTTGTGATAAGCATATACAACGGAATCCATCATTTG